CCCCCCCCCCCCCCAACCTTCTCCATATTACAGCCTCGATTTATAGTTGTCTCTACAACAGAACCCCCCCCCCTGTGATTTACCTCCTGGTGTTAATCTCTGACTGTTGTCTATAGGGGTCACTTAGACTCCCTCAAGCGACGGAGCCTCCGCTATAGGAGCAAAGTGTCCTAGAAACGCGCATCTAATGAATAGACTGCCGCAGCTAACAGCCAATTTGGAGTGTTATATCTCTGCAAATGAAAAATCTTCCCAACATGGGTTATCCACACTCCACCGAATTCCGTTCAATACAATGGACGTGTCTATTTGGCTCTGATTTACATTTTCCCAATTAAGGCGGGCGTGAAAATTGTGCAACACAGCCTAGCTTAACCCACTGGCAAAGTTATCACGAAATTGCGATGAAATGTGATCTTTAATGGCACAACACAAAATTGAATTTAATTTGAATAACGCGAATCCTTGAAAAGGAGGATCATGTTCCCATGTAATAATTACTTAAGTAGAATTTAACTATATATATATCATGAGAGTAATGAAAACGAAAATCCTAACAAAAGTAAAATACAAATTTCCAATTCAGCTTGATAATCACCTCAACTGAAATAAAAAAGATCATTTTACATTCACTCTTGAATGAATTGTTATCGCTCAACTTTACAGACATTAAAAAACCCGTCAAAAATAAGGAAATTTCAAGATGGCAGATCAAAATGTATAGCTTTTAGGGGTTTGCAGTAATGAGACCACAAGAGACGATTACACTTCAGGCTATGGTAGGAGGAGGAGGAATAGAGTAGTCCATAAAATTTTATCAGCACACTATACTCGTCGTCTGCGTGGACGGCATGACTCCACTTATACTTGTCTTTTCCATTTTACTCTTTCGGTGTAAACCGAGACTGAATAGAGTCAGCATTAATTCAATAATAGGATACGTGACGATACAGACAGACAACTTCGATACACAACACAATCAACACGACTGCCAATTCAAGTCTCAACAAGGAGTGAAGAGCAAAACCCCCTCACGATATCCTCTGTATGTGCGCGCGTGTAGTCGATTAGTCAAAGAATTAAAGTGTTCATTTACACAGGCGTGAAAAGCGTCAAACAAGAGAGTAGCTAGAATCGCGATATGCAAGCCAATATAGGGGGGAGGGGAGGGGAGGGGGGGGCAGTAAGAATACGAACACAAAAAACCCAGTTTTAAGGAAACAAAATAAAAAAAAAACAAAAAATGTTGTGCGAATAGATGGAGGACAAGTAAGGCCATTTATCAAGTAAATAAGGGGATTACATGGAGTCCAGCTCCAAAAAACTACAAATGCAGGTATAGAATTTCAGATACAATTCAGCGGTGTTTATTGGAAAACTTACGATGAGGTAACACACGTTTCACGGGTGATATTTATTTATATGTATGAAGGAAAAAGACATTCGCACTATCGACAAGACATGTGGAGAGGTGGAGAGAGAGAGAGGGAGAGACTTTGAGATGGGAAATAAAAGAGGTAATTGAACTAGCCTAAGAGACCTGAATGGCTGTCAAAGAACATTCTGTTTGCGAACTGGCAAACAAACTAAATAATGGGCACATTGAGTTGAGAAAGCGCTATCACACACACACACACACACACACACACACACTCATTGTGATGGAAAATTAAGAAACTACCAGAGAGTACAAACAATGATAAAAAACCCCTATCAAGTGGTCTAGACAACGAGTGTTATAAATTAAAAACTAGCCAATGAGTAAGAAAGAGAAGCACAGACATTGCCCTATTAGGCACTACCTTCGCGTAGACAACTTTTCTTAAAACACTCACCAGTGAGAAGCACTAAAAAAGAGTTGAGAAATTTTAAAATGAGCAATTAACTCTTTTACACAGTTAAAATTTCCCAGATGACCATAATGACCCACTCATCACAAGGCATGTGGGGCGGTGTTTGCTTGTCTTGAAAATGGCAAAGGCCGCACACACACACACACACACACACAAAGTCTGCAAAGAATTGACTGAAAATTTATCACAATTGGAACCAGCGATGTGGTGATAGAGTACCAAGATATGCAATCACATTTCAATTATAACTCCAGTTTTAGTGAGGAGTGTTGTGAGCTAACACACGAGTAGATAGTGCTTAGTTCATGACGCGAGGAACCAAACTCGATGGAGTGCTTATTAAATTAGGAGGACAACAGGCTGTACACACCTACTAACGGATAATGAAAACATGGCACTTCCAAAAAAATGAAAAGTTGAAACAGAGAGAGAGAGCGTGCGCGTACCTGTTCCTCCCGTTTGCTCTGCTCAAGAACCATTTGGAGCTTGAGGGCTTCTTTAGCCTCCTCTTCATGACGCTTCTGGAGCTCGCGTTCATGCTCCTCCTTGCTGATGGCTAGAGCCAATTGGAGTTGCAACTGCTCCTCTGTATAGGACTGTGGCTGAGCGGAGTCCAATTCACTTGAAATTCCACCTAGTATTCGAAGGAAGCGTATATGAGAAGTTCGCAAAGTAAAAATAGCTGGAGAAAGTGCTATTTACTGTTCAATATTATTATTATTATTATTGTCAATAATAGAATAAAAACTATTCCACAAATATAGAGTGGCACCACAAACCTTCTCTGGTGTGAGACTCTAATTCTGCCAGACTAAACCAGTGGCAGTTAGTCACTCCACTCATCGGGCGTGCACGAAACAAAAGGGGTGTCATAGGGCCAATTTCTTAATCAATTTACGGTATGTAACATAGTGCAACTCCTTCAATGTCCCAGAGAATTGAGCGTGGGAAATTGATTACTAAGCCTTACTTGCTGAATGATCAATAATAATAGTAGTAAGCCCACAGTCGTTACTATGCCAGTAATAATCCTTTAATCACACCAACTGTTATACACCCCACCCCCACATCAGCCTATAAGTGCTACGGATACAAATAACTGCAAGAAAAGTTTGATTTCGATCAAAGTCCAAAACTTCCCGACCAGGACCAAACTTCAATCTGAAGGGAGACACAATTTGTTATGCCAAAAATGCAGTAAAGTTGGCTACCTATTGAAGAAGCCCTTAATCCCTTACAAGAATGAAATACGCCGAGTACGAAAGTATTCACTACGCTTCCTGGGAAAATCTTCTCGCATCAACGACACAAAGAAATAGAACAGAAGACAAAAGCTAGCATTCCAAGTCAACCTCTTATCGATAACTTGAAACACGCTTATAATATAATATTGTAGCATAAGCGACATCTGCAGGGAATAACTTCTTAATCATTTAATAAAACACCAAGTAGAGAGGTTTCAGAATTGGGGCTCTTAGGCCTATTAGAGCAGATTGATCAAAGCTCGACAAAGGAACGATTCTGGGTTTTAAAATAGTTGCTTTGCCGAATATTTGAGAGAACTAATATAGCCGCAAATACCCTAAGATCGACGTTCTCTAGGGCATTAAGCAATAAAATTAATGAAGAAGGTTAGGTAATAGCTCCCCTAGCTATTATGAGGAGGGAGGAGGGGGGGGGGCAGAGAAAACATAGTCTGCAAATAAGAGGAGCACCTGTGATCCAGTCTCTTTCTGCATCAACATGAGCATCGGTGAGACTAATAAAAAGTACATTCAGATGACTCTTGTGTCAGCAAAGAGGCATGCTTAGAATTGCATATTAACAAGGGGAAGAGTTATGAAGATGCAGGAAACCTTAAAAATAGAGGTCATTGCGTCCCAAGAAAACAAGAAGCCAATACAATCGTGTTATGTAACACTCCGCAACACTCTGTAAACCTCCTCCTTCCCCCGCCTCACTAATAGAACAAGATGGCTGAACAACGAACTCGAGGATTAGGTGTCTTTTATTCTCTGAACATATGACAAATTTCGCATTCTTCTACCTCACTCTCTTCTTTCCTTCAGCTGTATTGACATGGAAATACGTCTCCATGAGAGTCTATTGCTCACTCGCCTACTTTTTCTGGCAACATGAATAGAATACAACATGTAGTAGTACCTTCAATATATGTGTATTCATTAATAAATCAACGAAACTCCGGCAACTAATTTCGTCATGTGTTGGACATTGTCATGGAATACTCAGCAAAGTCCTCAACAAACGGGTGAGTTAAATTTTAGAAGTTGCATAAGAAGAAAACTTAAATTCATACCTAGTTCCAAGCACCTTCAGAGCAAACAAATGAATACGGATAGAATTCGTGTGACGCGGTTTAGAACAGATCAAAGAAGAACTAGAAGAAGATGCAGTAGAGCGCTCAGATGAAACGGCAAAAACATGGAGTGTACAAGCTATAGTGGGCGCAAAAATACGCATGAAGTAATTTGAGTTTTATGCAAGCAGAAAGATGGTGAAAAAAAAACAAATCAATTTGACTTTCAGGCTATTAGAAACAACAAACCATGCGAAATTAAAATTAGAGTGCCCTGAACTTAATTCTCTGTTTAGTCTGCTGATCAAAGTGTGCGCTTGTGAATCCACAAATTCATTCACCCTAAATGGCTGTAATGCATAGGTCATAATGGTAATGATAATATTAACAGCGAAATACATTGTAATTGAAAAATTGTTTATTTATTCATTTCAGTGCAGAGGTCCACTTTTAATTCCCAATTTTACTGGCAGCATTGGCATTCTTACCACCACCAGTCCCTATGCCAAGGGTGGAAAAGGCCACAAACCAGAATCGATACTGGAGCCCCACTGAGAGGTTCACTTATGTATGGAGCACAATATGCTCACACATTATGGTTTAATAGGATACAAAAAGCCGTCACCAAAATGTCAAGTTCGAGGGTCGAGAGTTTGACAGATTTAGGGGAACGCGAGAAGAAGGACCAGGAGCAAAATTATCAGTCCTTATTGAGTAGAAACCGGGTTGTGATAAAGTGAGCTTATTGAAGTAAGGTAAGGGAATTGAGAGATTGCGTGACCCTTCAGCCCCACTGTACATATAAACCAAGTAACCCCCCCCCCCTTCCATTTGTCCTTATTCGCTCTTTCAATGCTTCTGTCGAATTAATTTTTCATCTTAAACCGCACCTTTGTACTACTCTCTCTCTCCCTCTCGTTCTGTCGTGAAGGCAAGCAGAACTTTCAGATGTGCATCCGATTACTCCATCACAAATACCGACGAGCTACTACAATCTTGAAATACTCACTGAAAGAATATAGATTAACATTGTGGGGTGAGCGATAGACTTACCTCCATGTGGTACACTCTGGGCAACGTATACTCATACGGCAAAAAGTCTACTAACTGGCAGTTGGCTTCCGACTACAAACTACCCTCAATCCATTGTATGTCATATTCGACTACTTCCACAGTACACACCTCACCTTTTTTCTACCTTTGTGTCTGTCTCTTTTACGTCGGTGAATCACTCTTCGGTTCCCCACCTCCTCTCGACTTTTTTTCACTTTGAAGTTCCCTCCCCCCTGTGAAGCCTGAAGTCAACTAAAGGGCTCATGATAACTATCAAAACGCTTGCCATTTGATATAAATAAATAAATAAATAGATTAACATTGGGGAAAGAGATTGGGAGGCAGAATTCAGTCAAGATCGCACCTCCCAACCCCAAAAAGGATCTCAATACACCGAGTGGCTGCTAATTAAGCATTTAAACTAATGAATGGCCATTTCCAGACACACACACAAACTGTAATTAGACGCAAAAAAACACGGCTAAAGGTAACGTGCAGAAGTGGCATCAATCACATTCGACGAATTACAAGTATTAAGCGTATTTTAGAGGCGCGCTTGATTTATAACGCCTATTAGTGTGTGAAAGTGGAAACCGACCGAAACAAAGGCGATTATGTGCGTAATAAAAGTGCCTAAGAGCAAACTGGAGCAAGGTGATTGCTTTTTTTTTAACAAAAACCGAATGTCATGACAACAGTAAGTGATTTGGCCTCATTGTTCTCTAATTTTGCTGATAAAGTGATAAAAAATGCGACAAATAAACAAACCCTACCCCCCCCCCCCCCCCCCCACCTCCTCTTTAACAAATACAAACCTTTATACTCACCTACTCTTACTTAGAGAAAGGACATTTACCCTTTCCCAATGCCCCTCAATCAATTCCTTAAAACATTATTGCTAATGTATTGTCTTATTAGTGGAGCAATGCCAACTTGATATGGGTTTCCCAGTGGACAATACGAAATGCTGGAACGAGACCCTTCCATAAAGAACTACCAATTTGATTGATATTCCCAAGTGGCCTAAAGGAGCCCTAGACCAGGGGAGTAAGAAGACACTCAGCAATAAGGGAATGTTTCCACCCTAACAAACAAGACAACAAAAGTGAATGAATATTAGCAAGTTCTTTGTGTGTCTGCTTCAGCGCATTTAATTAAAAGTAAACATGAACCCATTGGTCGAAGTAACGGGAGATTATACGAAACACGAGTCTCAAGGGACTCGTGTGAATGGCGTAAGGAACTAGAAAGTTCTCCAACCGCCTAATCACCTAAAAGTAGACCATATTGGCGATAAATCATTAAAACAAGACGAAAATTTCCACGGCCTATCCGCTCACTTTTGCCAACATCGGCATGAGAAGAAGACATCAGGAAATATGAAAAGCCAAGAAAAAGAATTTGAGTAAGACGATAAGATGTCCAGGCACCTACATCACGATAACTGGAACACCATTTTTCCCTGTTTCTCTAGCAGCTATACATTTTATGTGTTGTTGCTCAGCCATAACTACTACAAAATTTGAATTTGGCAAATCGAAACACAAAATAGCATTTGAGATCAGCTCAAAAGGCAGATTAGAATTCTCAATTGATAAAAAATAATGACTAAATCCTGTTCTTCCACTGAAAGATAGTAGATAATATTATTAATTATTAGAAAAATAAGTAGTACAACCTTCAAAAAAGACAGGCAGTCCGGCCAACAGACTACTATAATAATAAGTATTATTATTTGATCACGTCATAAGAGTAACTAAGATGAATTGCAAAGAGCAAGGTTAAATTTAAACACTACAACGGTTTCTGTTCGAAGTGACACTTCAGATAGACTACCTGAACCCCCCACCCCACCCCACACCACCCCCAACCCCAACCCCAAGCCAACAGGACTATCAAGATTACTTCTCGAACAACATTAACAGAATACTAGATGTCTTTAATCGATTTAAGACACCTCTATGATTATAGGGAATTAGTGTCAATAAATTACGCACGATTACCACTAGAAATGGGAAAAAATAATATGAATGAAATAAACTGGGCCTTAGTATTTACTTCATAATGCTCCTTAATCCAGAAGCTATTTTTGTTTCCACGCCAAACACAGTAAATAAAAAATCCACTAAGTTAAACAAACGTGGCAATGAAGCGAAGCCCCACTTGCAAAAATATGGGGGAATTCACAAGACTCACCGACACCAGAGAAAGAGGGTTGAGAAGATGGCCTTCTTTCATCTCCATAGGAGGAAGCAGACCGTCCAAAGCCGGCCATGGAGGGCGGTGAGTACGCGGAGGGGCCCGAAGTACCAAGAGCTCCACCATGCATGAGTCGCTCACGAGCCAAGAGGGCCTTTGTGCGTTCCTCTTGAAGCCTCTCATCGTCTCTCAACAGGGCGTTGAGACTCCGTGCCTTTTCGCGAACAGAGTTGCCCACGTCCTTGCCCTCCTCAACGTAGTAGAAATCCTGCGAATAGGAGGCAAGACAAGTAAATACCAAGTCCACATTTATTTACGCGTTAAAGAAATTGCAGAAGTGCCGTAGGTGATGTGCACGTCTGCCAAGGAAGAATTCAAAAGATCGGACGTTCATTGGAGCAACTTCCAGTGAGGTGGATAGACAATCACACTGAAGAATATGCAATTCTTTCACATAATCGCGACTAGAATATCTACCCTCTACCAAAATACAGCTTTATTAATGCTTCTCCTAATGTCCTTGGGGATTTCAATGAAAATAAAAAATATATATAAACACTTATGAATCTAGCTTGCAAGTATCGATGAGCATCACTTCAATACGCAACTCAGCACAATGGCAGTGGTTGATTTCTGACCAAAACAATCAAACTCAGTTTATACAAATCTCATTTAACATAATCCAAGCATACCAACCCCCACCAACACCCTTCCCCGTTTGCAATTGCAATTTTGGCCCAAAGACAACGACTTCGCAACATTCAATGCGAGTCAAAGGTAAACTATGCATTTGGTCTTGGGAGATTTTTCGGTCAAAAGCAAATGTCAAAAGCGCTGTCAAATATCAGGCAAGCAAATGCTGGGAAAGCATTATGAAAAGAAGAGAGTAGATGATTATGGAAATAGAATCTGCACTTCTTTATTATTATTATTATTATTATTATTCAAAAAATCTACTCATCAATAAGTACGCATATAGTAAACTGAAAAGATTCATCACCATTGTTGAACAATAGTTGGAAAATTGAATGCAATAGGAAAAAATAATTAAATAACCCATGTTTGATAATTTGTGCCGTGCAATTCAAAACCAAGTAGCAGAATTCGAAAGGCATTTCAAAGCCTGAAAACCTTATTAACAAGCTCACGGCAAATTATAGTTTGAGTTTACTAATCTCTACTTGTCAAGCAATCGTCAATCACGTTGAATAGTAGGATGAAATTTCAAGGCTGTCGAAAAGATAATTTCTTTCCAGCAATCATCTAGGCGTATAAAAGGATAAACTCTCAAACCTCTGTTCCTCCATTGACTCGCTTTATTCGGTGCAGTTTAAAGTAGTATCGAGCGCATCTAATCATGCTGAACTTGGCGCCATTGAAACATAATAACTAAATAATGTGATTGAAGCCCGAAAGTTTAGCGTCCTTTCTGCTTTACGATATACGTGTAGCCGGGGTGTGCAATAGACTTACCTCCAAGTGGTGCACCCTGGGCAACGTATACTCATACGGCAAAAAAGTCTATTAACCGGCAGTTCACTTCTCACTTCAAACTACCCCCCCCCCCCTATGCCATATTCAACCCATTTACAGTACTCTTACCTTTTCTCTGCTCTTTTGTCTGTCTCTGTCACATCTGTGAATCATTATTCTGTCCCCCTCTCGACTTTTTGTCACTTTGATGTTCCTCTCCTCTGTGAAGCCTGAAGTCAGCTATATGGCTAATGATAACTTTCAAAACGCCTGCCATTTGAAATAAATAAATAAATATATGTGTAGCCCGATAAGGCAATCACTGTTTTATATGCCCATAAATGGCAACATCATTAACTAGGCAAAAACCAGAAAATTTGTTAAAACTGCACCAAAACAGAAGAAGCCTATGAAGGCAAGGGGTAGACGCAGTGCACATCAATTCTGACAAGCAATCAAATGGCCGCTAAGTATCAATTAGCATTAAGAGCACGAGCATGAAGGTCAAATTGAAAAGGTGGGGGGGGGGGGGGGAAAGATGAAGAAAATGCCTGGTTTAGTTAGTTTAAACATGGAATTGGAGAGAAAAAATTTTTACTGTCACCGAGAAAACCGCTGATAGTAATTGAAGAAACCATCTAAACAGGCAGGCTCATGTGATTCAATGAAATGGGAATTAAATGTAAACAAAAATAAGAGGCATTGAAGTTCAGTAGTAGGAGAATACTCTGGGTATCATGTTATGTGAATCACTTTCAATGAAACACAATTCCTCGCATCACTTGTTCTGAATGAGATAGAATTCATTTACCTTAAGGCCAGAGGAAGATTAAATGGAGAACGATGCGAAAAAGACATTCTTTTGTGGAAAGATTTTGCATTAAAATAATCACGATCAACTCAAATAATTGACAAACTTCAACATGAAGCGTTCAAAATGAGTTTAAATGCACTAAAAACAAGTTTTAAAAACAAACGGGTTCCATTATGGAAAACAATGACATGCGAGGTTAGAAATGATCAAAAACAGAAATGGCATTTTCATGGAAGATAAGAGTCCGATTGGTTAAGACTTTTAATCAAATACTTTAGCTTAATTGAGCCAGCTCGTTAATTTATTATTTAAAACCGTCTGTCAGAAAAAAATGAATACGACAATCATACTATTATCGACAAAGAATACCATCACAACACTATGGCACGAAATTTAGCAATAACTATTAGATAAATCAACCGCCCCCAAAATTACAAGTTCTAAACCTCAAAATAGGAGCAATTGAATTATGAAGGCAAATCGTTGAGACGGAATCCAGCAGAAGTGTAGAAGCTCGTATTTGAGAAATGAAGAAGGTACCGTTAAGTGACATTCAGTTAGATTTGGAAGACGAGCACCTCTATTAAATCAAATCGGATGGCAATATTAAGCACAGTAAAAAGAACATAGACAATTGTAACATAAAATCCAAAATACCCACTAGAAAACTACTGAAGAAAATAAATATCTTTCGTTATCAAACATTCTTGATGTAGACATCAAGGGACCAAAGAATCGCAGTTTAGACCCCCCGGATCGAGAAGCAATCATTACAAAAGAATATATAATATTGAAACATTAAAATCGAATCTTAATAGCATAACTCAGCGTCAAATGAATATGAAATAACGACATATGGAATGAATACAAATCAATTATTGACATGTTCGAAATAGATAAAACAAAAGGTAATGAATATGAAGTCCAAGAAAAAGCCAATTTTGAAAATCCTGAGAAACTGACTCGTTATTTATCATGTGTGAAACAATGAATGAATGATCAAATTAGGTGCATAGTTAAAAAATAAGATCTCTACAATATAAAAGAACACAAGCGCCTAATATAGAACATTCATTTGCATTTAGAAAGAGGAAATAACTAACCATAAGAGTCTCGATAGCGTGAATATTCTCGCGGCATTGGATAGCAACCTTATCGCTGCCAGTTTTAATTATATAATCCAGCAGAATAAGAGCTTTGTATACGTGTCTCCAGTTCTTGCTTTTATCGTTCAATCTTCTCCAGATCATTTGCATAATTTCAGTAAATGCGATGACATTATAAGTACGATCTGCTATCTCAGACATCAGAGTACTACTAGGACCCCAAGGATCATTTGACGTAGCTTCTCGCACCTTGCGTTCAGCTTCTGTGTAATTGCGAACGACATTTTTTATATGTCGCTGTAGTGGCATCATCTTGAGGAACGAAAAATCAGTCTCAAAGATAAATAAGTAAATACAAAAGGCAGACCGACAAAACGGCAGATGATGTTATCGAAATGAGCGGGCAAAATGTCCTAAATGTTATTGGCCAATAGAAACGATTAAATATATTATCAAAAATCTCTCACAAAATTTTTTATTAAAAATGTCTTGATATAATGAATGTCTTTTGAAAAAGAAAAATTAATCTATCGAAATTTCAAACTGGAACAATTAAGTCAAATACTTACAAATGTTTAATCCGGATGGTTCATATCTTTCAATACCCTTATGAAACTTTTTATTTGATTTGTTTATTGATACATAACAATATACTTAAGTCCCATGGTATTCAAATAATAAATTACTTTGTATTTTTAACATATACTAATATACAAATTTCACAAAACACGAAATGAATTAGATAATCGTCACTTTGAATATCTCGCACTCAATAAATGCTTGACATTATTTTAAAAAAATTTGAATTAAGATAATGTAGTGGTAGGATTTAATTTTTAAATTTTCTAGCGAGCGCAAATTGTACCACTACTACATAAGCTTAAAAGATTGCCTGTTCAATAGTCATATAATGTTAGAGAAGTTCAATGAAAAATAGGAAAATATACCAAGCTGCAACTAGTGCGAAATAATTGACCTCATGATTAACATCAAAATCTGAGAAAAATCATTGGAACATAAATACATTTACTGAAATCGATATTTTCTCTTAAACTTATTTTAAGATATATGTGCGAAAATTTAATGTTAATTCGATGAGAATATTTGCATACCTGCGACATAATACACATTTTACAGTTGTTTTGGTATGTATAACAATAACTTATTAAGTACTATATTTTTCTCAGTGAAAATTATACTTAAATGTGTATAAATTTTTTAAGTCTGGTTGTAGGTATTATTGATTTCTGCTAATTTTTATTGGAAATACAACAGAGGAGAAAGAGACTTTTGAGTAGTATATGAAATTTCATAAGTATAAGAAATGACAGAGGCGCCTAAATGTGTTTGTATTAAATTAGGTGAAATCGGAGAAATGCTTTTGTATTATAGAGTTTAGCAGAAATAAATATGCTTTCAACAAGGAAATTTTGAGCTCTCCTTTCGAATAAACAGATATTTGGGTTTGAAATAAACTTACGCTACGCACTTAATGACTGATCTTTTGAGAAGCATATAAGCAAACTTAGGGTAAACTATATATCACTATTTGTACAACGAATAAATTCGTTACTCTTGTGTTCAAATGACATAGAAAGTAAACAAAATTTTTGAATTAGTCTATTAACTTATCCGAAAGGAACCAGCGCAGAGTTATCTGTTTAGCTTGTGTCACATTTGAATTAGCGTGGTACATAAATATATTAAATGATCTAATCGTTTTCAAACTGACTTCATCTTAACAGTGTTCGAAAATGTTTTCACACTTGCCAATTAGAAATTCGTAGGTCTAAATTGCAATTAATTACAAAAATTTAAAATGGCTTGAAATTTTAAAACCGCAAATGCCAAAACTGTTTTCAAATAAACATTGAATATCTTTGCATGAATGGGTTAATCAATCAAGCTTACTTGTTAACGTTTAATAATTATCCAGTTTAAATTATTTCAAAATAAGGTGACTAATTTTCAAGTGATTGCTATCTGAAAAATAATCAAACGAAATGTGCTGTAATTGTTAATTTCTAACCTATAGGCGAAGATGCCAATGGCGGAATTAAGAAAAAGTTGGTGAATGGGCCAAAGTCGGCTTCTGCTGGCCTGTTTGATATGATCTAGGTAAAAATCAACATTTATTCTCCAAGACAGATTAAGAGTTATCATTATATCACGATTAACTTTTAAGATCTCTAAAAATTTTCAGTTATAGTTGACGATTAATCCATAATAGCTGTAGTTGAGCTCTAGTCTTTTCCATCCGAACTGAAGTTTATAGAATTTTTACAATGGATCTGTACGGAGTTATTTCGCTCTTGTTATGCCTAACATTTTTATTATTTTAAATTATGCCACCAGTGTTAATCTCATTATATCCTGCGTAGCTTCTTTATATTTTGTTTTTGTAGTGTATTTATAGATAAAAAAGTTTGCCAGACGAACATTTATAATTTTTTTAATTTTTAAGAGTATTGCATTTCTTTTCTTCTATGAAGGAGAATGTTAGGTGATATCGGAAGAATTCCGATTATATCTTTAAGTGGTTGCAAGAGTCTTTCGGACATTTTATCTGAACTCCCTTTGCCCCAACCTCTACCGAAAACCGTTAGTGGTCCTGAGCTAATTGATGACCCCCAGGCTTATCAAGAGGCCCAGACGCTTCTTCAATCGCATAATGATTTCCTTGTCGAGTCTATTTCATCCGCTCTGGCTTCTACTACAACGGATGGAATGTAAGTCTCCTTCTTCAATCATTCTCTTTTATTTCTATATTTAGTGTCCTTAAAAATGATCAACCCCACGCTCCAATTGATTTCCACACTCTTCCTCCGGTTCTGAAGGATGCCATCACAAAGATACCCAACATTCTTGAAGAGAATCGCAGCTTTAAATGTATATATTCATCTAAGGAAGTTCTGCAAATTCTTAACAAAGAGGGTTAGTTTTTTCCTCCCCTCCTAATACGATTCAATTTTAGTGGGTAAATCAACTAAGATGGCCTCTCCAACGAAACCTATTCCATCTTCAACTACCCGTCATCAACCATCAACCGCTGGACCTATAGTTGCTCCTGTTAAACTGAACTTGAAACAACCTCAATCTCCTGTTAGAGAAGTTGATGGAAGTGGGGATGGAAGTATCTACTCTGTGACAACTGTTGAGCCGCTCAAATTATCGATCAAACGGTCTTGTATCCTCCCTACTACACAGGAATCCTCTAAAAAGTCAAGAGTGAGACGCCGATCTAGGAACTCAACTAATACTTCAAGTTCTCTTTCGAATCCATTGATTTCTAGTAGTCAAAGTACTTGGGTAAGTCTGTGTTATCCTATTTCGATCTTCCATTGATACACACATACTGAAATTTCATACACGTGATCTCTAAATGTGTTGCTAGGTCCCCTATTCCTCTATCTTTTGCTAGTCTGAGAGATTGTTAAGCTGATTCTTTGCTGCTATTAATGAGCTACTTTTCAAAACTCTCTCAGTGTTATCCCCTGTGTTATTTTTAGAGGAACATGAAAGGGAGCAATGAAAGAAATGCTTAGCCGCGTTTTAGAGTTGAATTATTTTATTTGTCCCTACTCTACTTGCAGAAGTGAAGATGATTAACATTCTGTATTTTAAGCCAACTACCAACTACTCTACTTTTCAAACTTGTACGAAATTAAAGAACCATGAGTCCGAGAAACACAGACGAACCTATTTACCTACCTTCAATGTGATAATTGTATACGTAATATCGGTGTTCGAAGTGTTCAGTTACTTTTCTGGTATTGATCTTTTGATTTCACCTTCAAAAATGCCTTCTTAAACAACGGTAATAATTATTAAACAATTATTTTAAACTCATTGAATTAGTTAGTTCTGTTATTGTCAATTGAACGTGTTTTGCGATTCTGTAAGAAATTTGGTTAGAGTTCTTGCTCTTTGAGCCTTACAAAGGGGGTATTTTAGCAAGTTTGATTTTACGAGATAAACTGACTAGTATCGCATTAAAAATCGGCTTTTTGGCGCACGCTTGTATTAGATGGGCAACTAAGTCATTGCCGATTTCAAATAAGAAGGCAAATTCGGAATTTTTGTTTAAAAATATAACTTTATTCAATTAGATATTGGCCGTTCTTGTCGATGACCTTTTTCCATCGCTCTGGCAGAGTAAAAATTCCCCGTTCGTAAAATGTCTGGTCTGGTCGACTGGGCGGCCAGATCGTTGTGAATTTTTCAGTGAAAAATCACCGGAATGAAATCTTTCAAACCAATTTCGACACTGCCTTTCTTTTAAGGCTTCATCTCCATATACGGCACATAACTTCTTTTGTGCTTGCGATGCGTTCTTGCCTTTTCGGAAGTAATACAATAAAATGTGTCGGAAGTGCACTT